TCCCTGACACCTCCAAGATTCCGAGCAATTGGAGAGGAGAGAGCATACCTAGTTTGCTTAGTTTGGTTCCTCAGAGTCAATCACCTTGCCTGATACATGGTAGATGATTGAAAAATCTGTTACAGCAACGTTGGAAGAGGTCATCAAGAGGGTGTAACTGTTGGTTGCCTTGCGAGCTGGACCTGGGCAATCAGAGGCTCCTCACCCCCTCCCCTGTTCTTGGAATGTATGTCCTGCCTGCAATTCCCATACCAGCGGCCATTTCAAGGACACAGCCTTGACAGAGTAAGGTGTTGTTGAAACCCTCTGGATTGAATATATGACTGACCCGAGTTAAGTCCTCTGTTAACTTTTAAGATTTTGGTGGGCTGGGGCAGAGATCTATTCATCTTGTGGTTGCCCAAGACAAGCCTCATATGTAAGTTCTCTTATTAAAACTGCCACCTGGGCTTCGCTGGTGGCGCAGTGGTTGAGAGTCCGCCTGCCGATGCAGGGGACACGGGTTCGTGCCCCAGTCTGGGAAGATCCCACATGCTGCAGGGCGGCTAGGCCCGTGAGCCATGGCCACTGAGCCTGCGCGTCCGGAGCCTGTGCTCCGCAACGGGAGAGGGCACAACAGTAAGACGCCCGCGTACCGCAAAAAAACCCCCCAAAAAACCTGCCACCTACTGGGACTTCCCTGGTTGTCTAGTGGGTAAGACTCCACGCTCCCAATGCAGGGGGCCCGGGTTCTATCCCTGGTCCGGGAACTAGATCCCACATGCACGCCGCAACTAAGAGTCCGTATGCCGCAATGAAGATCCCAAGTGCTACAACTAAGACCCGGCGCAGCCAAAATAAATAAATAAATATTAAGAAACAAAACAAAACTGCCACCTACCGAAAAAAAAAAAAAAAAGGGACAGGGTGCCTGACGCTTCTCGGATAAGGAGAGGATGGGGGGAGAGCAGTAACTCTCTAGGGAAGTCAGGTGCAGCCCCACAGATCCCACAGCACATAATAGGGGGCTTAAAGGCAAAGAGCACTGCAGTGCCCATGGGATGGGGAAGAGGCTACCTGGACCGGGCAGACCTTGTTGTTTGATCACAGGAACTGGCCCTGAATATGGGGGTGAGAGCGGGGGGCAAGCAGCAGGGACCCTCCCGGGTTCCTTCAGCAGAGGAGAGGGCACTGAGACCCCAGGGGACGAGTCCAGGTGTCCTCCTCCCCCAGTTACCTGAGAGGGCCCAGCTCCTCGCCGCTTTCTCTCCGGCAAGCCCAGGCCCCAGATGCCGTCCTCCTGCGGCACGCACAGGCCTGCTGATAAGCAGTGTCTGAGCCCGGAGCAGGAACACCTGGGACTGCCCGCACCTCTTCCAGACCCTTCATTCCTCCCACGGTAGGGTTTGGGGGCTGCAAGAGCAGCAGCTCACTGATCCTTTCTGCCTCCTCAGCCGTGGATACCCATGACCGGCAGGCTGGGATACAACAAAGCTCAGCTGTGTTTGACTGGTTCCCAGCCCCCCAGGGCTGCCCTTGACCTCTGCTCCCCACCACAGAGGCAGGGTGGGAGGGTGGTGTGGACTCAAGTTTTGGTGCCCACACCCAGGGCTGGAGGGCTGGGGCGAGCCACTTAGATGCTCTGAACCCAAACTGGCTGTCAAAGGAAAGGGAGCCTTGCTCTCTGCTCAGGCACCTCTGAACGAGACTCCAGGGCATGATGCCAATAGCCCTTCGTGTAGGACAACGACCACCCTGGTCCCCGGGTTGTTTTGAAACCTTGGGGGTGGCGGCATCTGCCATAACGCCACTGGAGCCCCCGCAGTCCGGGTGGACGTAGCAGAGCATGGGAATCAGCTGCCTGGCTCTGGAGCGAGGCCACCTGGACTTCTGCCCGGGTCCCAGCTTCCTAGCTTTGTGCCCTTGGGCAAATTATTTAACTCTCTGTTTCTCAGTTCATTTTCAACGAAACTGGGACGTGCCATTTGTTTTGAGAATTAAAGGAGGTAAAGCACTCAGTACAGTGTCCCACACCTGGGAGGAGCTCAACAAATGTTCGTTTTTACTCTTTTTCTCTCAAGGCGGAGGCTGGCTCTTCTGCCTCTAAGCTGTTGTGTTTTCTAATGATACTTGACAGAACTCTTCGGTGAAAGGGAAAGCCCAGGTCCAACTTGGTGGGGAGCTCAAGGCTGGGTGGGACCAGGCGGGAGGAACCCTGGGGTCACGTCCTTCTTCACAGAGGAGGATGCAAAGAGTCCCTACTATGGGTCTAGACTTCCCATCTTTGAAAGTCACCATCTGCTCCAGGGAGGGGCGTTAGGTGTCCCTGTTCCCAGAAGGAACTGTTCCACCAAGGACACACGTGGAGGGAAGGCCCAGGAGGCCCATCCTCACCCTCTGTCGTCAGTGGGGTCCATTCTCAGAGGGTGAGCCAAAGCTCAAAACCTGGGGCATCCCGGCCTCACGCTCCAGCGGACAGTGTGTCCTTGAAGGTGTCTGCCCGAGCCAAAAGCAGGGCTGCCACCTCCATGTGAAAAGCCAGTGGGGGTGGCCTGGTTTCAATCCCTGGTCGGGGAACTGAGATCCTGCAAGCCACGCAGCATGGCCGAAAAACAAAAAAAAAAAACGGCAATGGCGGGGTGGCGGTGCAGGGGGACTCCCTGAAGGCAGTGCCCGCTATCAGTAGGTTCCAGAAACGCCCAGGTGTTCCCGTAGCATACCTGGCCCAGCTCCTGTTCCCAGGAGGGCCCAGAGGGCATCTTCATGAATGAGGCAGCACAGACAGGAGGCCTGAGCAGGTATGCAGTAGGGATTTGAGTTTTATTTGGAATCATTAAAAAAAAAAAATTCATAGCAGCATCGGTGGGGTCAGAAGGACCAGAGGGGTTGAGGGAACAAGGGAGGCAGGTGATGGTGGTGGCGGCAGCATGGGAGGACTAGCCTGTGGGCAGCCAGGGGAGGACGTGGGGACCATGGCCTCCGAGCTCACCTGCAGCCCTCTAATCTCCTCCACTTTTGGTCTGGAAGAGAGAGAGACTTTCACACACAGCTCTGGGGCCCCAGCCCTCAGTGGCCACCCTGGTGGGGTGGGGACAGGTGTCATCTGTGCCCCTCTGCCCTGAGGGGGCCATCCATGAGGAGACCTCACACTCAGGCTCAGGGGCCTGCAGGTCAAGAGGCTCCCTTGAGGGCTCTGGGGCCCCAGGAGGGAAGCAGCTTGCCCAGGGACCCCCCTGTAACACCAGGAGCCCAGGTCCTACCGCCTCAGCCACTTCCTCTTCCACTTTGGCCGCCTCGTCCTCCTGCAAGGGGGCAGGTTGCTGCAGGTCCTCCTGTGGGAAAGCAAAGGGGATGTGGGACCAGGTGGAGGGCACAGAGTCCCCAGCTCCTTGCATCCAGGGCCTTGTCACCCTGGCCTCAAAGATGAGCAGAGGCCCTCATCATCTTGCTCTATGTGGAGGAGGAGGTGAGGGAGGTATGAGGGCCAGACTGACCTTGGAGGCGATAGAGCCTCACGTAAGGATTCACAGCGGGTGCTCTGCCTGATGATGCCAAGGCCTTCCGGGGGTGCCAAGTGCCCTTGAGCCCAGCTTCACCCCCAAAAGCAGATCCTGAGCCACTGACAGCCCCTGGCTGGGCCTCCTCCATGAGGAAGCCCAGTGAGGTGGGGTGGGCAGTGGCCCCTGAAGCACCAGGCCTGACCCCACCCTCAGTGTTCCTGAATCACATGATCACATACCCTTGTCCCCCTGTGACCCCAAAGAGCCCTAGGAGGAGGTGCATGCTATCACCATTCACATGGGGACCCTATGCCTAGAGAGGCCAGGGATCCAGCTTAAGGCCTCAGAGGTCAAAGCAGTGAGGCTTGTAGGGATCAGGTCTGGTTTGCTCCAGGCCCAACCCTATCCCAGTAGCATGAGTGCCACCCGCTTTCCTTCTCCCTGCCTCCTCGATGGGCACTGGGCTCAGGCAGGTCTGGCTGGAACCAGCAGCGGTTATATGGTCCTCTCCCACTTCCTGTCTCCTTCTATCCACCTACACCCGGCCAGGCGCTTGCCTGAGATGGCGGCCTGCCTGGAGGTGGTCGTATGAAGCTGGTAGGCTGGGCCAGACCAGGTGATCAGCTTGGACACTAGTCTCAGCTCCTACCTCTGGAGGGTCCTGCCACCTCTCTGTTACCATGGGGCCATCCTGCCCCTTGGTGGACTGGGGCAGCCAGAGTTGGGGCAGGCTCTCCAGGCAAAGGACAGGTGGCCGCCTACCTAGTCCTGCTGCCCCAAGGTGGGTGCATGAGACCAGTGGCATGAACGGTCAGACAGACTGGCAGTGCTGCATCCTTCTACGGTTCCCTGGAGAGCGAGTCACGGCTGGTTTTTGGGTGTCACCAGAAAATGTCTTCCTTGGGGTAGCTCCAAGGGCTCACCGGCCCTCCTCCAAAGTCAGAGAGGAGTGCCCAGGCTTCTGCTCAGAGGTGCAGCGGCAGCCTGGCCCCATCCCAAGGCCTCTTTTGCTGGGGGATGGGGGAGGGAGGGGCCTGGGGTCTCCTGGGGCACATTTGGGTAGTGCCCAGGGGCACTGATGATGATGTAGTCACCTCCCTTTGTCGGGTGCTCACCACGAGCCAGGCGAAGCTGCTTCATGGGGGCCATGTCCCTGCATCATCTCAGCCCAGTGAAATGGATACTCTCAGCCCCACCCTCCCCCCACCCCAGGCATTTTACAGCTGAAAACATGGAGGCCCCGAGAGGTTGAGTAGCTTCCCAAGGTCACGCAGCTAGGACGAGGCAGAGCTGGGAACTAGGAGCAAGGGCACCTGCCTGTTCCTAGGATCCGGAGACCTTGTGCTGGCCCTGGAAACAGATGCCTTGGTGCTGCCTCCAGAGCCAGGGGCAGGGTGACCCCCTACCCTTCTACCCACCCACTCCCTGGAGCAGGGATTCTTTGTGCTGGGTGCCTGGGACTCTACAGGCCCCTCGGGGCCTGTGCCAGGTAGGAGAGCTTTCTAAAGCACAGCCTCGTACAGAGCTGAGACGGCACATCTCTGGAATAGGAAAACCTCCTGCCCACAATGCTCCCACCATGATCTCCCGATCTCCTGCTCAGAGTCTCCCTTTCAGAGCACAGTCTCGGGACCCAGGCTGCCCAGAGAATTGCAGGCTCACTCAGACTAGCCATGGGACCTCGATTACCATATCTCTCTGGGCCTCATTTCCACACCCTGTCTCATGGGATTTTGGGCCAAAGAAATTAGTTAGTAGGTGTAAAATGCTTCAAGCAGAGTCTTTCTGTGGTGGGTTCTGGGACAGTTCTCCCAGCCAGCCTCCACCCCCTGGGAGTGCTCCCCTGCTCCTGTGCTCTCTGTTGCCCGACGCGCGTGCGTGCGCGCGCACACACACACACGGGCACACTCACACCAGGCACAAGCACGCACACACGCACGCTCGCAAAGGTGGAGGCAGAGGGTGTGGTCAGAACCTCACTCTTTTTCCGTCACCAGGGGGCGCTGCTTCCTTGCTGCTCCTTGGAGGAGGAGGCCCTGCCCCGCCCGGAGGGAGGCTGGACACTGGGTTGGCGGTGACCTGGCAGCTCTGAGCTGGTGTCCACTGCCCGTGGGAGGCCGCCCGTCACCACTCGGGGCCCTGAGGACCCCGCTTTCGCTAGTGGAATGGGGTGTCTCCTAAATGCTGAGCGCCGTCAGGAGAATGTGGTTTTGAGCCTCATTCCAACTGGGCCCCACACAGCTCTGCTCACAGGGGTGGTCGTGAGGATTCCAGGACTTAATGGATGTGACAACACCAAACGCAGACCAGGGCCCCTGAGTCTCCATTCCCCTGTATGTCAGTGGGGCGATAGTGCCTCCTCCCCAGCTGGCCTCCCCGGGGCCCAGGGGAAAGGATGGGACAGGTCTGAGGGCCAGGGCTGGGGACCAGGTCTCACCTTGTGCACCACTCTGGAGGTGATCGCGATGTTCTCCACTTCCTCTGCGGTCTTGGTGGCCACGGTGTTGACACTGGAGACCACGGCCTCGCTCACGGCGTTGGCGTGCTCCTTGGTCTTCTCAGCCACTGTGGGAGGAATCTGGCTGGCTTTGGCCCTGACCCCACCCCACCCAGGCCCGGCCTTCCCGTCAGGCCAGAGCAGCCCCTTTCCCAGGGCGCTCAAAACTCTGGCTCTACTGGAGACCTTAGGCTGTCCCCTTTCTGGCTCCAGGGGAGCTCTGACGACGATGGGGGCAGTCCACCCTGGGTCTAGCCCCAGATTCTGGAGAAATCTGGGTCCGTGTACAGCAGGGGGGAAAGGAGGTGCCTGGGCTTGGGCCTTTAGCACCAGGGTGCAAAAGTCCCTGCAAGTCCTAGCCTCCATGTCCCCGGGTACTGGGGCTCCTCACCTGAGGTCACACTCTGCACAACACCTTCCTTGGTCTTGGCTCCTGTGGAGGAAGTGGAGGCGTCAGCCCAGTCCCACTCCTGCTGTTGGGAGTGGGGAGTGGGCCAGGCAAACACACCACAGAACAGCTGGACAAGCTGCAGGGTCAGCAGGAGGTAAGGATGGTGTCTGGGGGCCGGCCATCCTTTCAAAGGCCACTTCCTGCTGTGTCTGGAGGAAGGGGACGGATGGGAAGTGGACAGGACAGGATGGGGGGACGAGAGAGACCAGGCCTGAGGTAGGGTCTGGACCTCATGTGGGTATGGCCTGGGCCTCGGAAGCAGCGCAGGACAGGGTCAACGAGAGCTGAGTCATCGGCTCAGCCTCCTCTTCGGAAGGAGCTGACGGGGGTGGGGTGCACGGGAGGCAGGACAGGACACTGAGGGCTGGTCTCATCTCCCCTGAAGCGCCCCTTCCCTCTGGGCGGGGTGGGGACCCGTGGCCTGGCTGCTGAGCCCCTGCTTGCTCAGTCCGCGGGGCTCCAGGCTCAGTGTGGCTTCTTACCCGAGTTAGGGGGCCTGCGGGTGATGCCGGGCAGGGGCGCTGGTGTGCGCTGGTGTGTGTGCATCTGTGTGCGCACAAACAGGTGTGTCTGAGGGCTAAGTGCCTCCCTTGCTGTTCTGTCCCAGAGGCCCCTGGGGCCCTGAGGAGGCCAAACAGACAATGGGGTGTGCGGGAGAGTGGCGGTCCTCCAGGGCTGGGAGACCCTGACTCAACTGCCACGTCCTCATCCCTCTCAAAATGCCTCCCAGGGGCTGGGGGATAAAGTCAGGCCCAGATAACTGAGCGGCCACCAAGCTGCCCTGCCCTGCCAGGCCCTGCCACGCCCAAACTCACCCACATACATGACACCCTCCTTGGTCTTCTCAGCAGCCTCTGTCACCCCCTGCTTGGTCTTCTCCACGGCGCCCACCACACCCTCCTTGGCGATGGAGAAACCCTTCTTGAAGACGTCCATGGCTGTGGGCAGGGACGGGGGCCTGACTCCCCGGGCGAACAGTGACTGGAGCTGGCTCGAGTGCTGCCTCTTACTGCCGCCAATGAAATAATGATGATGCAGTGGTGGCTGATGGGAGCCCAGCCAGCCCAGCGGTGGGGGCGGGGAAGGAGGGAGGGAGGAAGCAGGCTCGCCGCCCCCTTCTCTCAGGGTTCCCGAGCCCCTGCTGGCTCAACCCTCCCCTCCTGTCCCCTGCCCTCCCTGGAGGGGCCCTAGAGGGCCGGACACATCCTTATCCATCACTGCCCTTCATTCATTTGCCGCCCTGCGCACCCACAGGGGCAGCCTTGACTGGGTGCTCCCAGGCCTGGGGCTGTTGTATCTGTGTACATCTGGGGCAGAGAGGGGTCACAGAGGGGGGCAGGCACAGAGAGGGGAGGTGCCTCTGTTACCAGTGTCCCAGGTAGGGCAGGGGTCAGGACCAAGCAGGTCTGTCAGGCAAGAGTGGCCAACCTCCCAGACTGGCCTGGGCTACCCAACTTCTCACCAGCACCATGGATGCCCCCATCCTGGGGCTCGGGCAAGGCCAGGTGGAGGAGCTGAGCCACAAAGAACTGACCCAGGCCCTGGCCCCAGCTACAGACTGTGCGACCCTAGGACAGCTCCTTTGTCCTTCTGAGCCTCCACCCGTCTGCTGGCTCCCACTGCCCAGTGGTGAGAGATGCTGAGTAGGCACGAGTGCCCCCCACTTCCTGGCCACCAGCATGGATGGGCAGCAGGTTCCCTGAGACTGATCCGACCGCTTCCTGCTGCTCCACCTCTGTGCTGGTGCGGTTCTCCTGATTCCCATGGGGACATGCTTGGTGGGGCCACCTCCCCCCGTGTCTCCCACACCCCCAGTGTCCCGGACCCGAGTTCTCCCAGGGCACACGGGAACTGGCCTGCGTTGTTGGCTGCCCCTGTGGGGACCAGGCCGAGGGTGAGGGGGGCCGGACGAGACTCACCGGGTGGGCTGGCCCAGGCCACTTCCTCTCTTTGTTGTCCCCGTGCTTTTTTTTTCCTTCTGAGACTTAACTTGAAGACAACGTCACCAGTGCTGGTAGTTTCTGGAGTCACCCACAGAGGCTGAGTCTGCCCCAAGCCAAGATGATCCTGACACTGCTGCTCAGCGTCGGGGGGCCCCTGGGCTGGGGGCTGCTGGGGACCTGGGCCCAGGTCCCCAGTACCAGGTTCTCCGATCCACACAGCCCCAGGCCACCTGGCGTCTGGAGGGCAGAGGCTGAGGACAGGGACCCCGTCAGACGGTAAGGAGGGCCTGGACCTGGGGGAGAAAGTGGTACCGGATCTGAGTCCCAGCTCAGCCAAAGCAGGGACTCTCTGGACTTCAGTTACCCATACGTGAAATGGGCTCATACTATCTACCTGCTGGACCAGCTGTGAGGCTGAATGAGGTGCTAGGTGGCAGGCTCCCCTTTAGGAGGCCACCCCCAGCCGGCCTGGACTGGTACCCCAGGGCCCAGCCTAAGGACCACAGGAAGTTCCCCGCCTACCCATGGCAGGGAATGGGCCTGGAGGTTGGACAGGGCGGGAGCACTCTATGCCATTGACCACCGGGGTGCTGAGGGGCTGGGGTTCTGGAAGTTTCTAGCTGACCTGGGAGTGGCTCCTCTTCTTCGAAGTCAGTCAGTTCTGAAAGCTGAGCCCAGTTGAGGCTGGCCCTGCCTAAGCCATAGAAGACAGATGCTCCTGGGGACTGGATTTGGATCTGAGCGCCCAGGGGGACTGGCATGGGCCCTCATCCTGGCCCTAACAGTTGAGCAGTGAGCAGACAGGGTGCCCTGCTCTATTTCAAGAACGAAAAGGAGGCTGTGGCATCCAGCAAGCTCTGCTTCAGCAGCCCTCTGGAAATGGGCGGAATGGTGTTATGACTAGACCAGGACACCCTTTTCCAGCCTTTTTGTGTGTCCAGGGCCAGGGATCCTCCTGCTGATAAGGTGCTGGGAATGTGGGTCCCTCCTCAGGGTACCCCTCAGTCAGAGCAGCAGGTGCCATTTATCGGACCCATCTCTGGGCTAGGCATCTTGCCAAGTGTTATCTCAATCCTCTTTACAGCCCCGGTTACAGAGGAGCCTGGGGCTCAGAGAGGCTAAGCAGCTGGCTAAGGTCACACAGCTGAGGAGAGCTAGAACCAGGATCTGAGTCTGACTCTAGAGATCATACTCTGGTCCCAGTCCCAGGGGTGCCTATTCCCCCCCTCCCTCTCCCCGCCCAAACCAGACTTGGTTGAGGGCATCTGTAAGGATTTGGAGGGTGAGAGGGGCCAATTTACGAGTCTCCCGTCTGGCTGGCCGAGATTCACCATCACGTGGGCCTGGCCCAAACCTTCCTGGGACAGTTCTCATACAGCTCTGACTCTTCAAGGTGAATGTGTTTGTTAGACACTTGCCCGAAAGCAGATCTGACCAGGGAGAGGCAGGAGGGTGAGAGCAAGCGAGTGTGCACTGCCGCTAGGTGATGGAGGGGCGGGCCATGTGGGAGGAGAGGGGAGAAGTTGGGCCTGGAGAGACGCCCCTTTCCTGCGCCATTCCCAGTTCTGCTCAGAGCTGGGAGGTGCACATGGCTCTTGGTGGGGGAACCCAGTCACCCAGCTCTGATTTGAGGACCAAGGATCCAGCCTTCCCTCCCCAAAGCCCCCAACTCCAAGCCCCTGTCTCTGAGTGGCCGGCCTCCCTCTGATGAAAGGGAGTATGAGGGGCCCAAGCGGCTGGGCAGGAGGTAGGAGATGCTTCTCTTTCTCCCCCACTCCCACCCCGGGGCTGTGGGGAGAGACTGCGTTCCATTAGCCCCAGGGAGGGTGGGTCTCCGGACTGCTCAAGGCCTGAGGGGGTCACTCAGCCATGGCCTGGTGGCCTCTGCAGGTGTGTGTGCAAGGGTACCCTGGCCCGGGAACGCCCAGGCAGGAGTCCCAAGCCCTGGTCCCAGGAACCTCCAGGGGGTCCCATCGGGCCTGCTGGTCTCCTGCCTACAACCCAAAAGCTGCAGGCCCCACAGGTCAAGCCCAGGTTGTCGAGGCCTCCGGAGGGTCTGGTGAGAAAGGAAGGAAGCGCCGCGCGGCTTCCTCAGGCTGATTGCTTCCCGTGTTCCTGTGAGGGGAGAGGCGGAAACGCAGCCCCAGCCCTACTCCTGCTATGGGGAAGGGGAGGCAAACAGGCTCTCCACAGCCAAGCAGGGGCACCACACCACCCATGCCACCCGCCACGAGCCTGGCGGGCCCGCCCCCTGGCTGCCAGAGCCAGGGCCCTGCCCTGCGTTTGCCCCTCATACCTGTATCCAGGGCCTGGGGGCCAGGGTAGGCCCTGGACACAGACCCAGATAAGATGCCTTGTGGACTTCCCTGGTGGCACAGTGTCTAAGACTCTGCGCTCCCAACGTAGGGCGCCTGGGTTCGATCCCTGGTCAGGGAACTAGATCCCACATGCATGCCGCAGCTAAGAGTTCGTGTACCACAACTAAGGAGCCTGCGAGCCCCACCTAAGACCCGGCGCAACCAAATAAAGAAAAATAAATTTAAAAGAAAAATAAAAGACCCTTTGAAAGGAGAAACTTGAACAAAACAATGTGGTGCTGGATGCCAGGTCTCAGGATGGAGGAGGGACATGGTTGGTGCTTCCTAGGTCACCCAGGAGCCCGTGGGGCTGGGCCCAGTGAGCCAGCAACGTGGGTATTTGGACTTTGTGGGGAAGAGGCTCTTTCTTTGATCCCAGGCTTTCGTGGAGGTGGGGAGAGCAGGAGGTTAGGATGTGGGTTCCTCAGACACATGAGCGCTTCCCAGGCAGGACTGAGCCTGCTGAGGGGACTGAGCTAAGACTCAGGCAAGGTGCTCCATCTCCACATTGTTGTGACAGTACTGCAAGGTCGCCCCTGTTCTCTCCACTTTACATGTTGTGAGGCTCAGAGGGGTGGGGTTGCCACCAGGGGCCACACAGCTCCTAAGTGATGGGTCAGGCCCACATCGGCTGGGCTGCAAATCCCAGGTGTCCTCAGTTCTGTCTCCCCTAAGAGGGGTGGGAGTGTAGGAGCCGCTCCTCCCAGCAGCCCAGCTGGCCCCGGTCACCAGCATCAGTGTCTCCACAAGGAGCGTCTGCAACTTTTGCAGCTGGGAGCTTGTGGCCCAGAGGAGTCACGCATATCTCTGGAGGTCACACAGGAGCAGAGTGGAGCCCAGACCGCTGGTCTCCGGGCCAAGCTGTACCTCCTGCACCTGTATCTGTTCTCCAAGGCACAGGGCCCTGAGCACTAACAGGGAAGAGCCCCACTGGCGTGAGCTATGCTCAGGGATGGACACCAAGTGGGCCTTGGGCTCCTCTGTGGCTCAGAGACCAAGCCCGGCAAACTTCTCCCATGGAGTCATCACAATCACAGCCGCATCCAGGACCTCAGAGAGCCAGCATGCTAAGAACACAACTTCCTTCCACAGAAAGACTTAAAGGGCAGTCGGAGGTACGTTTTACTGGCTGGTTAAGAGGCACTTAAGTGTCCCAATGGGCCATAGCAGCAGCACATTTATAATTCAGGAGGCTCAGGCTAACAGTCCTTTCCCTGCCGGAGGCTTTCTCTGCCTTCCTTATAGCCTCTCCCCACGGAGGGGCTGGGAGTGGGAGTCTTCTCCACACTTTCAGGACTGGAGGAAGGGCCTTGCTCAAGGTCACCCTGAGTCCAGGGACAGGGAAGGGAGGAGAGCCCAGGCCTCCCAGTTCCTATTAGAAGCTCCAAGGGGGGCAGCAGACTCTTTCCTGCCTGGGGCAGGAGGGCATCAGAGGCCATATTAGAGGCCCAGGACAGGCCCAAAGCAGGCTGGAGACCCTCACACTCATTTCTAGGCTGGCACCTGCCTCTCAGTAGACCACTGGGAGATGAGAGTGCCAAGAGGGCCAGGGCCCGAGGCCAGGAGGCAGTGAGAACAATGGGGCGCTTCAGCGAGCTGGGCCGGGGGCTCAGTGTACCAGCGAGAAACTGCCAAGAGCCGGAGGAAACCAAAGCAAAGGTCAGGAATGTTCCCAGGGCTTCTGGGCCAGCAGCCTGTACTGTGCCAAGGGAGGGGAGCGTGGGCAGGGAGAACAGTGGCTGCTGGAGCCTGAGGTTTGGGCAGGTCAGGAGAGAAAGTTCCTGGGCAGGAAGGGTGGGCGGCACCGCTTCCAGCTCTAGGAACCCGAGGTGGAAAGTCCCGGTCACTCCCTGCAGGCTAGCCCAGACCCGGTGCTCCCAGGGTACAGGCCTCCTGGAGCCTCTGCAGCCGTTCAGAGGGCACGCAACGAGCAGAACTTAGTTTACAGCGGGTGTTTCTCAGCCTTGCACTATTGACATTGCCAAATACACCTGGGGCGAATCCCCTCTCCTCCCAACACACGCCCCGTTGAGAACAACTGGTTTACAGAAATAACTTCTCTCTAGGTCTGAGCATGTTCCAGGAATTTCCATGGGGCCCAGGGCAAGGTGCGGGCTGCAGTCGCTGATCCTTGAAACAGTCTGTGCAGGTGGCCACCCTGCCCCCCGGCCCTAACCTCTGGGCCCAGCACTTTCACAGTCCCCTGTTTCTGTGTTGAGTGCACATCCTTTGCTTCCATCCTGATTTTCACATGTCCCTTTTACCATTTACTAGTCCCTCAGGGATGTACGGGTCTCTTCCGGGTCTCTGTTCCCACTGACTGGCTTGACAAATCTTGTGCCAACGTCCCACTGTTTTCCGGATTGATTTTATTTTTTTGGCCACACCCGCACAGCTTGTGGGATCTTAGTTCCCAGACCAGGGATTGAACCCGCACCCTCGGCATCGAACGCGCAGAGTCTTAACCGCTGGACCACCGGGGAATTCACGTCCCACTGTTTTCATTCCTTGGCATTAGAGTCAGTCAGTCGTAACAGTTAGATGAGGAACTCCTCATTCGTTGTCTTCCAAAATGTTCTTCCCCGTTCATCTGCATTTTCTCTTCCAGATAGAAATTATTTTATTTTTAAGTTTCGTTTTTATTAGTTATACACACACATAAGCAGGGCTTGGAAAACTCTGGCATGGTGGGTCAAATCTGGCTCCCCACCTGTTTTGTAAATAAAGTTTTATTAGAACGCAGCCATGCCCATTATTTACATCCTGTCAGTACTGGCTTTCCTGCTACAATGGCCAAATTGAGTAGATATAACAGTCTGTATGTCCTGGAAAGCCTATGCATCTTTTTTCCTCCCTACACACTTTTGGTTTTCCCTGAAATAAACAATTGTCTTTGTTTTAGTTTTTTTCCTTTTGCTTAGTTTTTTTTTTTCCTTTTGCTTAGTGTCTTTGTCACAGTTCAATTCCAAACTCTCAGCCAGTTGTCCACATCTGCTCTCCACCTTCATTCCTGTCAGGTGTTTGACCACCTGTGTCTTCTTGGAGATGCCTCTCTCAGAGCCTCCAGCCGTGCTCTAGGCTGGACCACTGCTCACTCACCCCCTGCCTGTCATTGTCCTGGGGTCTCCCTTTACCTCGTTTCTGTGCTGGAACTCTTGTTTCCTGATGCCATGATTTCCTGTTTCTTGGTGTTCTCTCTTGTTTTGGTGGAACATTTCTGGCACAGTGGTCCTCAATCCTGGGCTATGCCTTAGAATGACCCAGAGAGCGTTAAAATGCAGAAGACCAGGCCTTAATCCCAGAGAATCTCCTTTAACTGGCCTGGGGTGGGGCCTGTAGGCTCATATTTTTAAAGTGCCACAGGATGCTTCTGATGTGAAGGTTTGATGGCAAGATTGCAAACCACTGCTCTAGTAGCTCCCTGATGAGGGTCCTGGGGAGGGAAATGCTTTGAAATCAGTCTGGCTTGTTGAAAATGTCTTAATTTTGTGCTCCTTAAATTGATAATTAGGCTGGGTATAGGATTCTAAATTGGAAATAATTTTCCTTCAGTATTTTGAAGGTGATTCTCCACTATGTTTTAGTGTCTGGTACTGCTGTTGAGAGGTTCAGGGCTATTCTATTTACTGGTGTGTGTGTGTGTGTGTGTGTGTGTGTGTGTGTGTGGTGGGGAGGGGCTCGATTTTTTTCTCTGGAAAGTGTAGAATCATTCTCATTCCCAGAGTTCCAAAATTTCACAACGATGTGCTTTGCTGTGCGTTTATTTTTATTGTATTGTGGGTAACTAGTGGGCCCTTTGAATCTGAAATTCCATGTCCTTCTCTTCTGGACTATTCATTTGGTTGTTTTCATCAGTGATTCCCTCCCTCTGTTCTCTCTTTCTGGAACTCTTATTGTTTGGTTGTTGGATTCCCAACACTGGTCCTCTATTTTTCTGATATTTTCTGTCCTATTTTCCGTCTCTGTTTGCTCTTCTTTTAGGGAAATTTCTTTAACTTTACCCTTTAACTTTTCTATTAAATTTCTTTTGCATTTCTACCATTATAGTTTTAATTTCCAAGGGTTCTTTTTTGTTCTCTCAGTGTCCTTCCCCCATTTTTAAAGTGGCTTCCTTTTCTTGTTCCTGGAATGCAGTAAGTTCTCTTATCAGTTTGGGAATATTAATGCAAATCTGGGGGGAAGTTCTTTTCTCCCTGCACAGTCTTGGTTTCCTTCAAGTTGATTTTCTTACATTTGCTCGTTTTGACCTCCCACTTTTGTAAGAGATTTTCCTCAGGGGCCATTCTTGGATGTCTGGCCGCTTAAGAGTAGAGAGGCTGGGAAGCTGATTGGAAGCTGGGTGGATGGGTGATCTGTTTTGTTATAGGATGCTCTGCTGGGCTAGTTCATTGGGGGGAACCCCTGGTGTCAGTGTCTTTAAGTCTTTCCCCTCAAGTGGGGTCAATTTTCTGAGAAGCTTTTTCAGTCTGCTGCCAAGAGGGTAAAGGCCAGCTGCCAGGCTTCTGGGAGCCAAGTGGGAAGGCAGGCTGCGTGGCCTCAGCACTCAAAATAGATAGAGTCACTCAATCCCCCTCAACTCACCCCACTGCCGTCCCCAGCAGTATCCGTGTGATGGTACCTGGTGGGCCCGGGGCAGAGATCAGCTCCAGAGAATTAAATCGCAGCCTGAGAGCCACTCAATCACCAAGGGCCCTGAACATCGCCTCCCAACATCTCACAAATGTGGTCCTTTCTCCTGAAATCCACCACCATGGTCCAGTCAGTCCACGCTGCCATTATCTCCCACCTAGACCCCTGACACCACCACCTACCCCTTGCCCCCTCCCATCCTTTCTGTACCCAGGAACCAGGGTGGCTCTTTCATGTCACCTCCCTGCTTAAGCTCCTCCACGGCTCCGCATGCCTCCAGGATGGAGCCCTGTCCTCAGGGGGCACTCAAGCCCTCCATGGTCTGGCTTCTCCTTACCCCCATCGCCTCTCCTTGGCAGCCCTTTCCACGCTCCCAGCCTCCGCAACTCAGTGGGGCCACATACCTCTGTCACAGCTCCCGGTGCTTCACCTCATTCCCTCCACGTAAGATGCAGCCTAATCATCCCCTCCTCCCCAAAGTCTCCCCAGGTCCTAGCACCTATCACACCATCTGAGATCACCCACTCTCCCTTGGGACCCTGAAGAGAAGGTCTGAGCCTCCACATTGGCACCGAGCCGGAGCCCAGCACCCGCTCTCACCAGGTGCTACATCGAACTGAGCCATGGAGGTCATTACCACTTGCAGCGCTGGAGAGCTCTGCTCCGAGAGCTGACTGCGTGGGGAAGGGCCCTCTGACCTCTTGCTGAGTGCATCAGCTCTGCCACCAGATCTGTGAGCTGGGGCTCTGCCAGCAGTGAGCAGCCCTCCACCCTGGATGCGCGGCAGCACACGCTGGTGGAGGGCACAGGAGGCAGGGTGACCTCCCGGGTGTTCAGGATGCCGAGTGTGACCCCCACACACTCGTTACAACCTCAGTGTGGGTGGCCTTTTCCATAGAAGGAACTGCTCGGCCTGGCTGCCGTCCCCTACAACTGTTTGAAAGTCCATTTCCACAATGGCCATGATGGGGCACGACCAGAGCAGGCGCCCTCCCTGCAGCCGGGTCTCCGGTGAGGAAGGATGTGGGTGGTAATGGGAATGGGGCAGGCTGCCAGGGCCGCCAGAGCGGGCAGGACAGCAGTGTTCACCGGGCACTTGGGAAGAGCCAGGCATTTGATACTCCTTTGCCCACTTGGAGGAGAGTATTATGATCTCCATCGTGTAGATGGGAAACGAAAACTCCCTAAGTGCCTCACTCGAGGTCACACAACCAGAAAATGTGAAGGATTCGAACCCAGGACTCTCCAGCCCCAGCAGCGCCATGCTGCCTCCCTGGCACCAGGAGAAACAGAGATCCCTTCCTGACTCTGGTGGTAACTCTGTGATTGTGGCGGGGGGGGCTCCTGAGCCTCTCTGTGCTGACCCGGGAGTGAGGGGCGCTTCCTGGAAGGCCATGGAGCAGGTGCCCTTGCAGGCGGGGTCTGTGGAGCTTTTGCTCTGGAGCAGAGGAATGAATAATGCAGAACACTCCCTTCTCAGGCTAATGGATTCCAGAATCCCCCAGACTGGGTAGGGCTGAGAGGCAGGGGCAGTGGAGGGGGTGGGGCGCTCGGCACTGGCTCCCTGCTGACCTCTAGAAGTGGGGGGCCTGGGTGTGGCTCAGCAGCCCTCTCTTCTGGCTTTTTTCCAGTAACTGGTGTCCCTACCAGAAGTCCAGGCTGGTCACCTTCGTAGCTGCTTGCAAAACAGAGAAATTCCTCGTCCACTCACAGCAGCCATGTCCACATGGGGCTCCGGACTGCCAGAAAGTGAAAGTCATGTGAGTCGGGGTGCAGCAGGGTGGGCTATTCGTCCAGGCCCTGTGCCGGCTCACCCTAGAGTCGCTGAGCCAGCCGTCTTCCCGCAGGTACCGCGTGGCCCACAAGCCGGTGTACCAGGTCAAGCAGAAGGTGCTGGCCTCCGTGGCGTGGAGGTGCTGCCCGGGCTTTGTGGGACCTGACTGCCAGCACCACGGTAGGGTTCCCTGTAATCCCCCTTCCCCCTTGACCTCTGACCCCAGACGTCATGCAGCCCCTCTGACCTCTGGTGTCAACATCTGATGCTTCTCTGCAGACCCCAGGGCGATTCCTGAGCCTGAAGATCCAGGTGATAGCCTCCAGGAGCCTTGGGATGGGCCAGTTGACTTTGAACCTGGTATGCTGCTTTCCTGGAAGGAACAGGACGGACAGGCGGGAAGAAAGAACCCATGTGCCCAGGGCTCTTCTCCTCTGATAGGGTAGTGCCATTTCAGGGAAGCTATGTCCCCAGAATCAGCAGGGGTCCCTCTGTGGCCCTGTGTCACCCTGCCCCCACACCAAGGCAGCCAGGTTCCAGGGCCCTCAGTGACTTGCCTGATGGCCAAGCACACGCACCCTTTCCCTTGACCCCACTTTCTGGGAAGGACAGCTTCATCCGGCACCCTCCTTGCCCCCTGAACTGCATAAGCTCCCATGTCCTGGGAGAAGCCTCCCCACAGTCCCCCTAACCAGGGCCAGGAAGTCATGCTGTCCCTGGTGATGATCAGCACAGCAGAACCACCAAGTGACACCACTGGTGAGGCTTTCAAGGCTGGGCCATAGTTGGGATGGGGAATAAGTTTCATCATGAGGTGAACTCCTATCCATTGACAAGGGCTGACTAGAATGATGTCGAGAAGCCGTGCCCCTGCGACTGAGGAGGAAAGTGTGCCACGGTGGATAAGTCATGTCTGCTGTGGGTTTGGGGGCAGGGTGAGGGCTCACTTGCCATGCATTTGCCCTTCTGGAGTTCAAGGCTTCTAAGCTCCTGCTCAGAGGACATCAGGACACAGCTCCCTGTTTCAATCCCCAAATTTCCTCTCTGCACCTCATGTTCTGCCCAGGCCTGGGAAGTTAGACACTTATGTCTCATGTGTATTCAGGCCACCGGGATGCAGACATCAGCGACATGGTGGAGCAGCAGGAACGCCGGCTGGGAGATCTCCAGAACGACATTCACCAGGTGGCAGACAGCCTCCCAGGCCTATGGAAGGCCCTGGCAAGCAACCTCACAGTGGCAATAACTGAGGCAAATCAGACAGAGCTTGGTGAGTAGCAGGTTCCATGGGCTGAGGAAGAGCCCAGTCACATCCTAGGGGATGAGTGGGAGGGCAAGCAGGAAGGCCCATACCTCAGAGCCCCCCCCCACCCCGCCTCCTCAGTCGCCCCCTGGGGAGGCTGTCTGCTCCCGAAGGGCTTGTGTAAACACGTGCATCTGTTGTAGAGTTTCCCGGCAGATCCTTGGAGCAAGTGCTACTGCCCCACATCAACACCTTCCTGCAAGGACATCTCAGCCCCATGTGGAGAAGCTTCAACCAAAGCCTGCACAGCCTCTCCCAGGCCATAAGAAACTTATCTCTTGATGTGGAGGCCAACCGACAGGCCCTCAAGAGGGTCCAGGAGAGCTCTGTGGCCAGAGCTGACTTCCAGGATCTTGGTGCCAAATTTGAGACCAAGGTCCAGGAGAACACCCAGAGGGTGGGCCAGCTACGGCAGGATGTGGAGGGCCATCTGCATGCCCAGCACCTATCCCTGCACCAGTCCCTCTTGGAGGTCCAGGCCGATGTGAACACCAAGCTGAAGAAGCTCCTTAAGGCCCAGGAGTCCCTGGGGGTCAATGGCAGCCTGGTCCTGGTGGCAGCAGGGGCAGCAGCAAGGCCGGAACCAGAGAGTCTGCAGGCCAGGCTGGGTCAGCTGCAGAGGAACCTCTCTGCACTGCATGTGACCACTGCCCACAGGGAAGAGGAGTTACAGAGCACCCTCGCAGACATGAAGGCCACCCTCGCCCAGCACGTGGATGAGATCAAGGAGCTGTATTTGGAATCCGATGACACCTACGAACAGATCAGCAAGGTAGAGCGGCAGGTGCAGGAGCTTCAGGTGAACCACACAGCTCTGCGCGAGCTGCGGGTGATCCTGATGGAGAAGTCACTGATCATGGAGGAGAACAAGGAGGACATGGAGCGGCAGCTCCTGGAGCTCAACCTCACCCTCCAGCACCTGCAGGGCGGCCACGCGGACCTCATCAAGTACGTCAAGGACTGCAACTGCCAGAAACTCTACTTTGACCTGGATGTCATCCGGGAGGGCCAGCGGGACACCACGCGTGCCCTGGAAGAGACCCAGGTGAGCCTGGACGAGCGGCGCCAGCGGGACGGCTCCTCCCTGCAGGCCCTGAGCGGCACGGTGGCTGCCCTGTCGCTGGCGGTGGATGCGCACCAGGCGGCGGCCGAGCGGGCGCGGGCCGACGCGGCACGGCTCCGGAGTCAGCTGCGCACGCTGGGCAGCGAGGTGAGCGCGCTGCGGGCCGCCGAGGCCGAGATGCGACGCGAGATCCGCCGGCTGCACGGATCCTTCGCGGCCCTGCTGGAGGACGCGCTGCGGCATGAGGCCGTGCTGGCCGCCCTCTTCGGGGAGGAAGTGATGGAAGACATGTCCGAGGAGGCGCCCAGCCCGCTGCCCCTGCGCTACGAGCAGATCCGCACCGCCCTGCTGGACGCGGCCAGCGGGCTGCAGGAGCAGGCCCTCGGCTGGGACGCGCTGGCCGCCCGGGTGACAGCCCTGGAACGGGCCTCGGGGACCAGTGGGCAGGCCGAGAGCCTGGAGCCCAATCGGGACGCGTCGCCAGCGGCGGCCGGCGGGCCGGATCTGGCTGGGCTAGCGCAGGAGCTCCAGCGCCTGAGCTCCCACATGGAAAGCGTGGGCCAGTGCTGCGAGGCTTCCTGGGCCTCCTCCTTCAACAGCTCCCTCGAGGGCCTTCGCGGGGAGCTCTCCACCACTGAGCACGGCTTGCAGCGGCACCAGCGCCTCTTCCACAGCCTCTTTGGGAACTTTCAAGAACTCTTGGTAGCCAACGTCAGCCTGGACCTGGGGAAGCTGCAGGCCATACTGAGCAGGAAAGGGAAGAAGCAGCAGAAAGGTCTGGAAGCTCCCAGGAGGAGGGAACAGAAGCAAGTGGAGTCTTTGGAGGATGCACATGTCAAAGGGCCGGTCCTCTGGGACGCAGGTGAGTTGTCCAGCCTGGGAAGGAGGCTGGGGGAGTCTAAGACTGTGCTCTCTGCCGACAGCGCTTCTGCCTCAGAGGGGGCCGGGGTGAAAGAGAGCAGGATGGCCATCAGTCACCACTACTCAGGACTGGCTTTGCCCTTAACCCACCTTCTATTTAGGACTAGGGAGGGGCCCCTTAAGCCACCTGGAGTATTAGGAGGTAGAAGTCACATGACTGAACTGTCAGTGAGCAGGCAGAGCCCCAGCACGGAGATGCTTGAGGCTCATATATACACCAGTGGTTGCCTGCCACTCTTAACTGTAGAGCAGGGAGGGGGGATGCCTCTCCCTCCTCCATAACAACACCCTCAAATCTCTCCAGCTCAGCTCTTCGCCCGACCCCGCTTCACCCCCCATGTTTCTTTAAGCTTTCCCCTGTATACAAGTGAGTGTGTGGATAGGGGCTGGTGCCCTCTGCCATGGGCAGCACCCCACAAGAGGTGAATACAGGGGAAAGCCATGGGCCCCAAAAGGAGCTCGTTCTGCTAACACAGTGGACCCATGCTGCTGCTCTGAGCCAGGTCCCCCACAATGCCTTTCTTGGGCTTTGCCATGTTGAATTATCACAACAGCTCAATGACGCATTATCACTGCTGCCATCTTACCTGAAACAGGGTTAGTCAGGCAACTGTCCTGCTCACACATCTAGTAAGCGGCACAGAGGAACCCAGTCTGGCTGTCTCTAGGGAGCTGGCTCTTCGCCTGTGAAAGGCCCTTGACTGGCCTCTGCAGGGCCCTGGGAAGCTGCCCCTGAGGCTGAAGGGATGAGCAGCTAGCCTTCCCAGCCCCTCCCTGAGTATGGCCCTGAAAAGTGGACCCCTACACTCTGTGCCTCAAGTGACTCTACCCTGCCAGAGAGGCTGGCCTTGGAGCTACGGCCGCCTTCTCACCCAGACCCGGGGCTAAAGTACAAGGCCGCCATCTGGGCCGTCTATATCCTCGTGTAGCCTGGCACGTGGGCAGTCCGAGGCCTTGCTGAGGATCCCACCGCAAGCCTGCCCTGCTCCCACTCACTCCTCACTATGGCCCTGCAGGCCAGTGTCTCCCTGGGAGCAGTGGACATAGCACAGGCTCTAGCACCACTTACGTGTCTCAATTTCTTCCTCTGTAAAATGGAGAACCACTACCTTCATCAAAGGGTTGTCAGGAAGACTAGCAGATACATTTACCAAAAACCTAGCACGAGGCTTAACATTTAGTAGAAACCAGTCAATGTTTTCCCATTTCTCCAGCATTTTCAGGGCTGAGGCTGTATCTACCTACACTCTTACATCTTTTTCTCCCTTGTGAGTGGTGCAAGGCCTCAACTGCCTGATAGTGTAGGTATCTGGATTTATCACTGCAATATTTTGTTACTTAAAAAAATTTTTTTCCTTAAAAGTAAAAATCCCCCCTTATCTGTCTTATGGGAAGGCCAAAGGGCTTGACTCCGCGCCCTGCAGGGAAGACCACTCTCAGTCCGCCTGCTGGCAAATCAGTGAAGCACAACCCTTCCACCAAGGAGCACGTCGGGCCCCTGGCTGGCCGTGGCGCTCCACAGAGGGCACGCTAGGCCGGCCTTGCTTCGGCGGGGTGAGCGCGCCACCTCCTGGGTGCTGGGGTAACTGCAGAGCCAGTCTTTCTCACACAGATGGGAATCCCAGCTATTCGGAACTAATTCTCAGAAAATCTTCCAGAACTAGAGAAAAGCAAAATTTTGTCATTCACAAGGATGCTGTTGGACCGGGAGCCAAAGAGCGGGGGCTCTAGCTCTGGGACCGAGGTCACTCACTGCTATGCAAATTGCTCCTCTTTTAGGCCTTGGTTTCATCCCGAGACGTGGGGAGCTTGGTCTCAACAGAGAGGGGTGTGTGTGTGGGGGGCACAGAGAGCCCACAGCTTCAGGGAGCAACAAGGGAGCACGTGAGGAACATGACCTCATCAGTGCCGAGGCCAGGGTCGTGGCCGGAGCCCAGCAGGACTCAGCCTTCCCATCCCATCTCCTGGCCAGGCAGCCCGGCTGGCTCCTTCCTCTACACTGAGCGTCTTCTCTCGCTCCAGGCCTGTGCGTGGGCCTGGCGGGCTGCTCGCCTGTGTTCTCTGTTTCATCCTCCTTAGATTGGCTAAAGTGCTTCAAGTGGGAAGAGTACCAGGGGTCAGGAGATCCACAGCTCCCAGCTTGGTCATGTGTGTCGTCTGGGGCAAGCTTTCCCTTTCTGGGCCTGTTTCTCCCTCTGTAATCCCAGGGCTCTGAGCAACATTTTGAAAACATTAAAATGACCAGCTTGAAAAGACTTTTCTTCCCTGGTCCCACCTGCGTTTTCCTTCTCTCTCTAGGGTCCTGTGCTAAACATCCAGTAGGAGCTACCCTTCATTCCTTAATTATCTCACCAGGGTTAGCATTACTACTTTGCAGATAGGTAATATTTTCTCTCCCCTGGTATCTCAAGATCCCTAGCAGGTGGCAGGAATCTGGGAGTCAGAGACCTGGGTTCCAGTCCCAGCCTGCCACTGATAAGCCATCTAGCCTTGGATGCAAGTTAACCATGCAAGACTCAAAGTCTCCTCAATCAGGGTACTTATCTCTCAAGGATGTTGGAAAGAAGGATCAAACAAGAAAGTGCTTTGTTAAAATGTACACCAGTAGAGACAAGAGACTTGTATTTTCCTTTCTCTCAACTAGTGAAATACTGAGAATTGGCCAGTTAGCTCCCAAGATACATTGCTATTAGGAATATCTGGGTTATCTAGAAATGGGACCTATTTCTAATGTTAAGAAGGCGAGGAAGGCAGGTATAATTTTCCACCTGAGGGAGTGAGGGGCTGAGCCACTAACACTTTCCTCCTGCATTCCAGGCTCCCCTGTGGCCTTCTACGCCAGCTTTTCAGAAGGGACAGATGCTCTGCAGACAGTGAAGTTCAACACTACTTACATCAACATTGGCAGCAGCTACTTCCCTGAACATGGCTATTTTCGAGCCTCTGAGCGTGGGGTCTATCTATTTGCAGTGAGCATTGAATTCGGCCCAGGGCCAGGCACCGGGCAGTTGGTTTTTGGAGGTCACCGTCGGACCCCTGTCTATACCACCAAGGAGCAGAGGGGTGGGAGCCCAGCAACGACCTTTGCCATGGCTGAGCTGCAAAAGGGTGAGAGAGTATGGTTTGAGCTAACCCAGGGATCAATAATGAAGAGAAGCCCTCCAGGCACTGCATTCGGGGGCTTCCTGATATTCAAGA